ACCCGTCTCTAGGAGTTGAAGTCCACCCCATCTGAAGTCCACCCGTCTCTAGGAGTTGAAGTCCACCCCATCTGAAGTCCACCCGTCTCAATGCTGGGAGTTGAAGCCCACCCATCTCAAAGAGGCCAAGGTTGAGAAACACTGCCCTATAGGATTTCTGGGGGCAGAAACAGGGGTGGGAACATGTGAGATTCCAGCAGGATTAGAGTTACACCATCCCGGGCGTAGGATGACGGGGGCGGGGATCAGGGTGCAATAGGTACAATCTCCCTTCTGAGAGCAGGGAACCCGAGACGGCAGGTTTTTCTCCTGACAGATCCTGCCGACCCGTTTAAGCACTTCTGGGATCAAGGGTTCGGCGAGCAGTGGGATCCGAGAATAGATCGGCAGGCTGAAGTTTTGGAATGAAACCCTAGGAGGATCCAGAAATAGTTTGGCAGGAACGAGCCGACTGGAATCTCGGATTCTGTGGGGAGTTTTGAACTGGGGTTGCTGGAGAGTGAAAATCTTCTCAAGATCACCGCAGGAGAGTGGTGGATTCTCTTCCAAAAGAGGCGGATCTCTTGGAAGGGCTCTTCCATGGCTCAGTATCCTTGGCAGTCGCAAGGTCGGAGCGCAGCCCGCCAAGCTCTGATTCCCTGGCATCGTTCGGGCCCTGAATTTCGGACATGACGCGGAGGGAGGAGGGTGGGCCTCCGAACGCCTGCTAAATTTTGTAGCACAGCCTGTCCTGAGGAGCGGTCCAGATTTGGCTTCTGTGTCTCCCTCCCGGCCTCAAAATAGACCCAGCCTTCGGTTCAGAGCAGTCGCTACGCAGAAATGCCACTTGCAGGGCATTCCTCTCTGAGGTGCCCACGCAGTTTATCCGAGCCAGCCTGTGGCCACCAAGCTGGGGCTGGTACAAGAAAACCACCCTCTGAAGGCTTGGAGATACAGAGCCATGACGCCAGCACAGAGATACGGGGCAGAAACCAAGGCACGCCCGATAAGAGAGATTAAAAACACCTTCACAAGGCTTTGGGGACACCCACTGGTTTCAGCCTCCAAGCTTCAAATTGGCCAATGGTTGCCTTGTCCTCAGCTCCCATACTCCCCAGCCATCTAGGGATTAGGGGACTTGAAGCCCATCACACACAGAGGGCACCAGGCTGGGGAAGGCAGGCGTTTATCAAAGGTGGGGGAGCCCAAGAACACACCCTAGCCTTCCCCAGGGCCCAGATTTCTCCTCAATTCCTGCTCCCACCCCTTCATTCATATTTTCCTCCCACACTCCCCCTTTTCCTCGCTCTTCCTCATCTCTCCCTTCTGGGTCGCCGATCTGTCCTATTTAAGCGGCTTATCGTTCTTCAACTCTGCAATCGGAGATTTGGGCACAAAGCCCGGCCGTGAGTGGTTCCTTCTGGGTGAGATTTGGGGAGATAGATTTCTCTCCTCCTCCCCTCTGCCGTGTTTTTATATGCACTCCTCTCCTCCCCCCTTCCCACCTACCCCCCCTTTGCTGACTCAGCACTGAGTAACTGGCTTTGACCTGATTAATAAAGTTTTGCTGAGTTGCAGCTGTTACCTTGCACAAGCAACCGGGCCAAATCCAATCTCTGGCCGTCTCTTATCCGTCCTCCCGCCTCCCCTGCCCCTGCTGTGGAGCTGGAAAAAAAGGAATAAAACCAGTTTGCTCCTGATCTTCCCAGCATCGGATGTCCTAAAGTAGCCTCTGGGAGGATTTCCCCCCTCCTAAGTCCCTTTTCGGTTCAGGGGCTAATAAAGGCCCACTGCCCACCGGCTCATGTTACAAGGAGGGTGCCGACTCACTCGAGAGAGTTTTCTGTGGGGGAAAAGGGCTTACGGTTCCCGTTCCCCCCACTCTTTCTCTCTCTTCCCTTCTGTTCTTGCGTTCATCTCAGCAGTGAAGGATGGGGGGTGAGAATCAAGACTCAACAAGAGAATAGGCCCACGTCTGTTGAGAAAATGGGGATTGCTCCAAACGCCAGTGTCTCCTGCAACTCTTCAGTCTCAAACTGCAAAAACCGGCATTTGGGTGGGTGGGGGGCATTTATTCTGCCTTATATGCTCTGTGCGTTAGCTACCAGCGCAGGGGAAAGCCATTCACGTCTATTTTCTCTCTTTTAAATAAAGCCGTTCTGTGCTTTCAGGAGGCCAGCTACTGATCTATGATTCTGTGCCTGTTTTCCATCTCTCTTGGCACCTGCAGATATTGGTTAACCCCTTTTAAATCTCACAACAATCTTGCAAGGTAGATGGGGGAGGAAAAAGGGACCAGCTCAAGGTCACCCAGTAGGTTGGAAGAGCCAACTAGAAATGCGAACCAGCGGCCTTGACAAGCCACAGAGCCCTGGGGTCATGCGTGAAGACAAAGCGACTTTCAGACAAGGGTTATTTCAGCAAATGTTGCTCTAAAGGCAAAATAGCTGAGCCAAGTTGTGATTTTAATCGATTGTGCTCGTGAAATAACCCAGCAGACCTGTTTGAACTGCACTGTTTTGATCTGAGTTCATTACAGGAGAACTTTTGGAAGGCTATCAAGGAGTCTATTCAAATGCAGAGCTTTGATTTTATTTTTAGGGGAAGACAAAAGGCAGAGACGAAAAAAAAACATCTGTAGTGTTCATAACAATTCAGGCACCTCTTTGCAATCCCCTTAAGCTGCAGGCAACATCTTAAAGGATATTAATGCTTCTGACAGTATTGGCTTTGTATCATTCTTTAAACTATAGTTCTTACAATCTTGATTACAATTACTGCTGCATATTGCATGCTCACTTTTGCCTGTAGATTTATCACACACTGGAAGATGGTGCCTATTTAGGGACTGCACTCTAGAACTAAATTCACCGCCTTTGATCATTTCAACCCCTGGAGAAGGAGGGGAGCGTGATTGTTAATCAGAGTGAATACAAGATGAGAGGATTAAATCCTCTTTCCAGTTCATTTCACATGGAATTTTAAGCCAGGGATTTTTTAAAAGCCTAATTAGTTGAAAATGGCATAGCAGTTTGGTGTCACGTCCTGCTGAACCACCATAGGACTGACACACCACATTAAGTTAGGCATATCAAAGCTGCAAAGCTCCTGACCACCTCTAGGGGCCAACAGAAGAATACTTCAAACCCTAACTCTTGGCTGCCACCTGGTGGTCACCCAAGGCTTTGCAGCCCAGAACTTGTTGCTGGCTCACCCCTTACACTGAATCAGGTGACTCATGTGGGTTTAGTTAGGGCAACCAGGTCTGGGCCACAAAGCTTAACCTGATTCGTCGATTGTGCTTATTTGTGCCTTGTTGAACCAAGGTTTGTTCAACCGGCTGAGCAGATCCCCCAACATACAAAGGTATGAACCCTGGTTGACAAGCCGCAATGGCTAGGTTCCCACAAGAAGCTAGTCTATAAGCAATTCTGCATGCAGCCTGCTTTTCTTTGTTCCAAGCCATGGTTCTTTACAAAAGTGCGCTTACAAAAATGTGCTCTTTTCCCTCTCGAACATGTCCATCCCTTAAGGCAACCTTACCACATTTAAAAGCCACACAAAGCGTGGTCGGCGTCATGCTACAACTGTACTGCCAGGTTTGTTCACTACTTACAAAGACAGACCCCCGCGAGGAGTCGCAGCCCTGTTTCTGGAGGAAGGCAGGTGGGGAAGATGGGCTGCAGGACGTAGTTGGCAAACGTGAGCGCAATCACCGCCTGATTTGTGGGATAGATCACCAGCACAGCAATCCACAGCCTGAGGAACCTTGGGAGAAACGGAAGTGTTAGGGGGCATCAGGGCTTCTTGGCCCTTACCTAAATCCCCGTGTCTCTTCCTAGCTAGATTTACTGAGAAGAATGAGACGGGTTTACAAGAATTCTGGCAACTGAACGAGTTCCTTTCCAAAACCCATATAACTCCAGGTACACTAGAGTGGCCATTTCTTGATCTTCTTTCTAACTGTCTTCCTGTGAACGGGGAATTGGTTGGTCTCTTTCACCACAGCTGCTATTTACACAAGGGTCTCCTGAATCTTTACCGTTCTGGAAGCCCACCATTGCAAGATTGTATCACCCATCCTGCTGGTCCCAGCCCTCACCCAACTCAGTTCTGTAACCCCAACCACCGGCTGCCGAACCATTTCCCTCTTCCCCTCTTACCCAGCCAGTCCTCCAAAGATGTCCTTGACGTAGGAATAGTCTCCTCCAGATTTGGGGATGGTGACCCCCAGTTCTGCATAGCACAGGGCACCCACAGCTGTGATGAGGCCCGTGACAATCCACACAATTAATGCCAGCCCTACAGAGCCTGCGTTTTCCAACACACCCTTTGGGGATACAAAGATACCAGATCCAATGATGTTACCTAGAAATGGACAACAGGAGATCACAAAGGGGGATCATGACAGGCAGGAGACACACAACAAAGTTGGGAGTAGCTAACTGAAGTTTGCAAAGGCTTTGCTAAAGTAGTAGGTTCCTGCCCTGGGGAAGGGGTGGTCTAGATGGTCTCTGGATAGATTCCAACCCTTCCATTCTATGATTCTATGAAGACAGTGGCCCCAGAAGATAATTATTCCCTGCGGGTACAGAAAAGCTTCATTGGAGATGACATTTAAAGACATACAAGCTTTTGTCCTGCTAAAATGTTGTGCTTGGCTTCTACGAAGGCCCTGAAATATTCTTACTTGTATTATAACACTATAAAATGGATATTGCTGGCTTGGTTATGTAACCTAAAAACATGCTGTGTAAATTGTCTGTGGGTTGCCTGAATGTGTCTAAAATATAATCATCCACCATAATCATGCACAATTGTACAGATTATACTAAAACTAATAGAAATGAAGGGTTGCTTACAGAATAATTTTGCATGAATACATTTACTTAGAGATAAAGGCATCGTTTTAAGTTGGCAATGCTTTTTAAAATTTTAAAAAGGAGTAAGCCCCACCCGAAAATAATAGGATTTACTGCTAACTAAATATACTGAAGTTTTTGCTGCACGTAAAAAATAGATTTTTCAGTCACTTGGGGATTTTTTTTAACAAGGCTCACCAAAACGGCCAAATGAACATTCACTATCTTCTTACGCAGACCAGTTTTTCTGAGGCTGTTAAAAGAACTCAATCTGGAATCTGATCAGTTCCAGACTTCCAACTCCATTTGAAATCAAATCATGTTGATTTTAACCAGAAAAAGGAAGAACTAAGCAAACAGCATAGAGAACAATTGCCTGGTTTCCCAACGCAGTTCCCCAATGCAAACATGTACCAAGCGCTGTGCACCTTATCAACGCTTGCATCTGGAAAGATTAAGGCTGCAGGTTTAGCAACTGGGTGATTTGTGACTCCCAGTTTTTCAAGCAGAGCATGCTTGCTTTGATATACAGAAACGGCACCTTCCTGTTTTTCTTTTTATAAAACAGAAGGGGAAAACTTTGGGCCTTGCAATCTGAAGCACAGTTTCGGTGCTGATTTATAAAATCAATATGCAGAGAGATGTTCTGGAGATCTCTCTGGGAAACTCACGGCTGTACGCTTTGTGAAGGAAATAATATTTAGAGCAGGGATTTTCAAGCAAAGTTTTGCAAAACTCCAGGGTTCCATGAGATTCTAAGGGGGGGAAAGTCCACTCAAATGCAGCCTGTTTTCTGTCACTACAGCTTTGCTACTTGATCAGGGCTTCTGGGAAGTATAAAAGTGCCCTTGATGTGTGCCACACTTGAAGCAATAAAACACTTTCACTGGCACGTGGGATTTTGATCTCTGCCTTTTCTCCCCACCTTCATTCAATACTGTACTTGATCTCCTTTTTCTGCTGGCCAAGAATATAAGTGGAGGTGTAAGCACAAGGGAGCCTGAGAACCATTTTTGGAACTCGCTCAATCTACGGTTAAATCCTGATCATCCAACCCCAAGAAGCAGAGGGGAAATTCAGAGGGGTGGCTCGCTCTGAACTTCAGAGAGCAGAACATCTGGAAGCATCAAGTTGAAACCTTTGGGACGCTGGTGGGAAGGGCCCCGTTGGCGGGAGGTGAAGAGCGTTTAAACTCTGGGGGAAGTGAAGCGTTGGCAAAGCCGGAGGGGGTCGGGAAGCGAGGGTGCTCCAGCGATCACTCAACAGGCTGCCAGCCGCCAGTCCTGCCCATGTTTGTTTTAGTGGTCTCCTGGCACCTGCTGAAACGAAGCCATCTGGAATGAGACGGTTGAAGTTGGAACAAACATGCTCGAAGAGCTGGCGTTCCAGCTGCGCTGGAGTGGAAAACAAACTCCGGAGGCTAAGAGAAGGGCGGGCGGGCGGGCAGG